AAAATTTTTATGTCTATTGTTGTATATTTTGTTTCTTCTTAATAGAAACAAGCAAAGGTAAGATGTTTTCTTCCTCCCTCCCCCAAGTTTCAGTGTGGCTCTGGAGGATCTGTCACGGTGATGTTCTAGAAATGAGACTGTCTATTTAGGTGCATATAGAGTGACCCACGTAAGTGAGGGAGCCTGGGCCATGGCACTGGCCACACAACTGGACTTTTGGGAAAAAGTTCCTGATGCTGGCCTGTTTTTTTGTTTTGTTTTGTTTTGTTTTGTTTTTGCTAGTTTCTTTAAATGTGCCTTGTCTGTCTATATGACAGGGTCATGGACAGCTCTCTGAAAAGTTGATTGGTGACCCCAAAATGAAGCAGCCTTCTCTTAAGTGTTTTCCTGCCCTCCTGGATAGCCTCTGTGACACTGTTCCTATCACTGTCCTTGAATTGTCACTTCTTCTCTCACGCAATGACCTTGCTGTTTCTTCCTTGTTGGCTGTAGGGCTTATCGCATGGCTTTAATTTTTAGACAGTGTTTCTCAAACTTTAGAGTGCATAAAAAATATCTGGAGCCTTTGTCATAAAGGCAAATTCCCGGAACCCTCTTCAGAGATTTTAATGCAAAAGACTCGGACTAGGGGCGCCTGGGTGGCTCGGTCGGTTAAGTGTCCGACTCTTGATTTCCACTCAGGTCATGATCTCACAGTTCGTGGGTTCAAGCCCCACATCAGGCTCTGTGCTGACAGCATGGAGCCTACTTGGAATTCTCTCTCTCTGCCTCTCCCCCATGCTACCTTTCACTCTCTGTCTCTCTCTCTCAATATAAATAAATAAACATTAAAAAAAAAAAAAGACATGGAATGGAATTTGGGAACCTGAATTCGTATCAAGCACTCTTGTGGTCTGGAGGAAGGCTGTTTACAAATGACAACTGGGAAGACTGTTCTTGAGGGTACGGAGGAGGAGTGAAGTGATCCTTGGGTTCAGGTGCCTTGAGGAAGGCTGATGCCTGCAAAGTGTGCGTTATCCGGAAAGATGATGCCTCTGTGTCTCACAATTTCTCCCAAGCTCCCCTTATCGCTTGTTTCTAAAGCCATTCCAGAGAAAAGCCAGTGACCATTTGGTATTTAATGTGAGGAGAGGGAGACTGAAGATCTCCATAGTGCCTGCACATTGGGTTCATTCCCTCATACTTTTTGATAATTCTCTGATGAAGATTCCAATCCGCATGTGCATCGATGAGGTAATGGAGGAGGAGGAGGGGACACGTAGGCTGACAGTGAACATACCCACTCCCCAGTCCGTGTCCTCGGGTGACTAGGAATTGCTATGCCATAGCTGATGAGCCCTCAACATGGCTGGGGGGTCTCTCACCGACCCTGAGAGCTGGAGGGCTGCTCACTTTCCAGCTGCACAGGGCTTTGATGTGGCTGATTTTGACAAGGCTTGTGTCTGCAGTGATTCCTGAGTGGCACACCATCACCCGCCTTCCTCCCCTACCCAAGTCGCCATTTATGGTGAAACTGGTCCATATTTTAACTGGCCACTGCTGGATCCTGTTTTGCAGGGCAAAGCCGGTCTCCACCCCCACCACGCCAACTTCTCAGGCCTTGGCACTGCCGGCTTCCCTCCTACCTCTGGATGCATCTTCCTGCTTTCTAGCTGTTCCAAGGCAAGGCAGCCTTTAAGCCCTAGCCAGCCACCGTAGGCGCTCTTGTCCTTGGGCCAAGTAAGTTGATCAACCATGGAATATTCGCGCATTGTCCCAGAGCACAGCTGACTGTGTTCCTTTGTTGCCCAAAGCTCAGGCAGGCTCCCTCACTGACCCCTTTAACTCTGACTTCGAGGCCACAGGGGAAACCTGAGGGCTCTGCAAAAGTGGCCCCAGATTGTAGAACTTAACTTCGCCAATAACTCGGGGGTGCTGAGCTGCTTCGTATCTGCTACAACCAACAAACTTTAGAGGCGACATTTCCCTTCTGATTTGGTCACAGGCTAGGAACCTAGCTCAGACACGGAGGCCCAAGTGCGGCCAGAGGGCTGACAGCCGTGAGCAGCCAGATTCGGTCTTTTCCTCTGAAGATTCATTTATACCTTTGTCTATTTCAGAGACGTGTTCCCAAGAGAACAGGTCACGCTGTCAGCTTTGACACAGAGCCGAAGCCAGAATCATGACAGTAAACAGTTAAGAACAATTTAACTCAATTATCCCTTCTCTTGGAAAGTGTGGATACCCAGCTTCATAAAGTCCCATGGGGCTAAGACTGTAACTATACAAATCACCGTTGTTCTTGGGAATTAAACAAATGAATGAAATGAGGTGCTGGCGCTCATAGCTTGATAAACCTTAACATTCTTCCTTCCCCTTTGTGTCCTTGTTCTTATCAAACAAGTCAGACAAGAATGTTAAATTAGTTTTTAGTGGAATGTACTCTAAGAAAAAAAACATGAAGTATTTTGTTACCATGCTATGTCATGTCCAGCAACAAAGAACCCCGGCTGTATAACTGCTTTGTCTCATACCTATAATGAAACAACATGTATGTTGGGGGTTGGGAGACAATAGATTCTTAAGGAGAAAGTTGAGCCAATAATGACTTCTCCTTGTAGGTGAATTCCACTGAGTTTCTGAACACTCAGAACGGAAGAAAAACTTGAGTGTGTAGTATGGCCCTATTTCTCAAAACAAACCTTTCGTCAGAGGATTTTGAGTTTGAAAGAAAACTAACCCACACAAGATTCACTGAGAGCCATTTGATTTGGTGAAAGACAAACCTGCATAATGCTAGGGAACTACTTTTTTTTTTTTTTCCACCCAATTTTAATTTACCACATAAAATAAGTAATACTAAAAATATTAAAGAAAGAAAAAAAATCATCCATCACTTAACCCGCCTCATCAAGTGTTGCAATTTTCTTGTTGCCTTCAAGTTCAGGTACATACCTAGGATCACAGTATAGACACAAATGGGTATTCTAATTTTTTCTCGCACTGAATATTATCATAACTAGTTCTTCTGTTGCCACATAACTTCCGTAATTATAATTTTAGTGGCCACAGAATATTTCATCAACTTGAGCTACCATAATGAGTTAATTATTGGGTGTTTATGTTATCTTAATTCTAGTTCTTTAATTTTACTTGTAGATATAAGGAGAAGACGGAAATTACTTTTAAAAAGGCATGTCTACAATCTCATTTTTTCTTTTGGTGTGAAATTATCTACCTATTCCATGGGAACTGTTCATTTACTAAGGGAAGAATTGTTGATGTGGTTTTATTTAATCGATAAAGTTTTCCTCTTGGGCAACCTTCTGAAGTTATAGGTGCAATTTAATTTCCCACCATGAGGTGGAGCTCTGTTGCATCAGGCTAAACTCACAAGACCACAGGGACAGCACACAACTTTTTCTCAGATTATCAGTGTCCTTACTTTCTTCCTCTTTCACTGCTTTGTCAACACTTCACTAATATCAGCTCATTCCCTTCTTCCCCTCAGCTTCCTCTCCTGAGACATTCCTTTCCATAAAAATCCACTTTCTTACAAAATGACTGACTTTTCATGGGAGGCATGGAGTGCAGGGGTTACTTTCAAGGTCAACACTGCCTGATGTGATTCTGCCTCAAGGCTCCACCGGCCCTGCGGATGGATGGCAGGTGGATATTAGCAGAGAGGTCCTACCTGTCCTGTCCTCTGCAGGTTTGCAAAGTGAACGTCGGGTATGAAGAGGACCGGTTGCGAGTGCAGATCAGGCATTGTTTTGAAGTAGGTGATGTCGCTCTTCTTCTGTAAAGGTATTGCGGCCAACTTCCCATCAGAGGCTGGACGTGAGAGGGTTACACGTGACTAAGAACTCTTAGCTGTGAGCCCCAGTCTGAGTTCTCTGTTTTCTCGTTTGAAGCTTCCCAAAAGCCAGAGAGGTGAACACTCTTTACCATCTCCCCCTCTCCTACTGCCAAACTAACGAAAAGAGCGTGAACTTCGGGTGAGCACTCTTGAGGTGGCTGGCACCTCTCGGGCCCTCCTGTCCCTCTCTGCACCCTAGATTCCTTGTCTGGAGGAGGAGGATGTTGGTCTCCATGATATTACAGAGTCCCTCCCAACACAAACAATCTGTGATCATGTGATCCCATTTGCTTCTCCCAGAGAAAATTCACCCAGTCTTTACGGCTAGGGAAAAGCAAGCCACCCCTCACATACCCACAGTTTTGCCCACCACCCCCTTCCTTCCACCTGTTCCCCTAGTGGACCTGGCCTGGCTGGAGCCCACCCCTCCTCGGCAACACTCACAGTTGTTGCACTGGGTTTGGGAGGGCTGGCCTTTCCCCTTCTTCCTGTTTTGCTTCCTCTCTTCGTCTCGGATTTTCCTTTCTGCTCCCTGACAGGGAAAAACAATGCCAGGCATGTTATCAGAGCATGCAAGAATACTGTCAGCATACAAACCTCTAGGATAAGACACAAAACGAGGGTGAAGGGAGAGCAGGCAGCC